TGTTTCACTCCATCCTAGGGGCAACATCAGGATCCTGCACTCCTAAAGCCGTTGAAAGCCAAAATCCTCGGGGGGCATGATTTTCTTGTAGTGGCCGCCAACTATTAATTGTTTCCAACAGCACTTAAAGGGCGGTGTAAGACACGGACCACAAAACAAAATGGCCCCAGCTTAAGTGCAACTTGTGCAAGTGTTCACCTCCGTCTGTACGGAGTCCTGTGAGTAGTTGCGTGAAATGATACCCAGCTGGAGACCGCTACAAATCACCTAATGCTGTCAGTGATTGATGGCTGATAGTGCCCAGCCAAGGTCCAAGTTGTCTGACCTTCGCCGTAACTTACTAACAACACGTGCGTTTATTTTAGTGCAATTTTCCCACCCATCTCACAACGGTTGGGAGGCCAGAAGACTATTTTTTCGATCAACATTCTTTCGTCTCATGCATCGGGTCACTCTTACATAACAACTTTTTTCTTCTTTCTTCTTCTTTTTTCTTCACAACCACTTGATTATAACAAGAGCCGACGTTTCGATGTCATCTTCATCAAGGCAGTTATGACTGGGTCACTGTAAACTGAAGCTATGTTAAAGTTGGATCTTGTGTAAGAAGTGGTTGTAGATGAGGAACTTTGGTCTTCAATGCTTCACCAACCTGATGGAATCATTTACGGATGTGCGTCAATGTTCTATCTTGTCGTAATTTGAAGCACACAATGTCACAAAAGTTCCTGCTAAATAGTACTCGCCTTGGAAATGTTAGGATGATGTAATACAGGTCAGCCTTTGCCTGAAGGGTGGCCCCAGTTTCTTAGCCTCGTACCCGGATTTGCTGGGAGGGCGTTAGTTTGTTACAGCCTGGTACCCAGCCTTGTTAACCTAGTACGTAGAATTGTTTGTTTATTACCTTCGCCAAGAAGGTTATGTTTTCAGAGGCGTTCGTGTATGTGTGTGTGTGTGTGTGTGTGTGTGTCTGTAAACACGATAACTTTAGGAGGCCTTGGTGGATTGTCTTGATACTTGGTAGGTGGGTAGGCCTTGATGAGACCTCAAAATGATTAGATTTTGGACCTCCTAGCGGCTTGTTATGGTACTGCAGCTGCACTTCCGGTTTTGATATCTCATGATCTAGACATGCTAGGGTGACGAAATTTGGATGGTAGGTAGCTCTTGTGCTGGGGAAGAAGTGACTTGAGTTTGGGCCCCCTAGCGGCTTGCTCTGGAACTACAGGACTATATGTTTGAAAATATTCAACTCAATGTAACTCAAGAACCGGTTGACGGATCGTCGTGATTTTTGGTATGTAGGTAGCTTATGTGATGCTTGGTATAATTATTTGACAATTACGCAAATATGGATGTAATTTGCATAATTTATGGGGATATTCTATAAATCAGCTTCATTCCATGGTTGGACTATTGAAGCTTGTGACATTGGTAATTGAGAATAAGAGAAACACAGACAGATATTAATTATGTAAATGAGGACTTAATTTGCATAATTAATGAGAAAATTTTATAATTATGTAAAGATAACTGCCTGGAATTTCATACTTGTGGTATTTGAAAGTTAAGTGAAGGTGAACATCACTAAACATAATGTATTCAAATCAGGACCTTATTTGCATAATTTATGAGGAAATGCTAGAATGGCATTGTTTGTTAATATAAGACTGTCTTTTGGTTGAGAATATGATAAAATGATATAATTCATGATTCTATTTGTTAAATCAGGGGGGAATAATCTATAATTTGTCAGTCATAAAGATTAACATCATTTGGCGAAGGTATGAGATCGGGGAACTCTAGTTGAGGAAGCATTTCAAATGGTGACAATACAACCACTACTCTTTCTGGAGTCCTCTTACACAAAATACATAGTTACATTCTAGCTATCATTGACTCTATCATTTGCTATCATTTCTAATTGTTGAACTTTGCCCGAAATCTAGCCGTGTTTACGCTTTCCAGACATGTACATGACTGGATTTTCAAAAGGCCCTTGCGGTAGCGTTGGTGCTAGACTGTTGCCAGGACCACTATACAGAGTAAAAAAAGTTTACCATAGACACCCCTTGGTCTAACTGGGAGCTAGCCTGTGAATTGACCCAGAGTCTGGCACCCAGGCTACCCTGACGCACTCCCCTTAGCCTCTACCAGGCTTTGGGAGAGAGGAAAGAGTACAAGTTGCCAAATAGAGAGATAGCATGCTAGGGGTGTTGGTCCGCTAGAGAGTACATTTTGACGCACCCACACTGTACACTCTAGAGGACCATCTCCCCTGGCATGTTATCTCTCCATTTGGCCAATTTCTACTCTATCCAGCCGCCTCCCGAAGCCTGGTAGAGGCTACACTTCCCCTGCCAGTTTTCGTCTCGCCGTGAAGCCTCTCTGGAACCACTTTGCGGAGTGACAGGTGGTCCATCTTCACTAACCCAGCGCCCCTCGGTCCTCCCGGAGTAAAATAAACAGAGCGCGGCGGTGACACGCGCTTTCCACGTCTGACAGGCTCTAAATTGGCATGACAAAACACGCTGTTTAAATTCTGGGGAGAGACAAAAGATGGAAGTGAACAGTCGAAAATTGGGGGCAGTCCAATTTCTTCTTGTGTTGGAAATGACAGTTCAAAAACATCTTTCACAGGCACATGCTCTTTATGGTTGATTTTGTTATGTCTGTACCCCTGATTCTCTCTTGTTTGTGTACTAATCGCATCCATTCATTCATTCATGATCATTCATTCATTCATTCATTCATTTATTGCTCTCTGTGTTAAAATACCTTTCTCATTTGCTTACACGGACTGTTTCATTCATTCATTCTTTATTTCAGGTTAAAAAACATTAAACACATGTACATCATTAAAATAATATAAAAGCTCTACAGACATACAAATAAAACAGGAAGAAACCTAGATGCATAATAACTCGTAAGTCTGTTTCATACTCTGTATGTGATACCAAGGCTCTTCCGGAGGCATTTCATTTTTGTGGTCTGTATTCAGTTCTCAAGTTTTGCTGTTAGCGTCTGATGTGGGGTTTTACAGACTACAGAAACCCCGTCACATGTCCAAAATTTGCGATTCACCTCTTCATTCGCCGTCCTGATAAATTGCGGTGAAACGGAAAGCACTATGGATAAATGTATTATAGTCAAGGAGCCAAGGTCCTGATTTAGAAAAGGATACGACGTGAGTTATTATTGTGGGTACTTTCATATCTCCTGGATTAGTTTAAGTGTACGTAATTCACCACAGTTCCTGTTCAATCAAAGAGGCGACGTCCAAAAGCACAATTCAGAACAGGATTAGGATGTCACGGGGCTCTAATAGTGGTGTGTATGACAAATGTATTAAAATGGGTTTTGCTGCGATACACCGCAATATTCCGGCATTTCTGGAAAGCTATTGATGGCAGGGGAAGATTTCAATATGGTTTAACGCGTTATGTCATGGCTAAGACTGTAGCAATTTCCGGCAAGGTACTTTCTGGTCCATACATTTTCCGAGGGCACTTTTGCCCCCCCCCCCTCTAGATATGGTTAGATTTTCCTTTACCCATCGTAGTTGGGGGAGTTCGGCAGCGTTCAGTACATTATGTCCTACTAAGGGGCATGTAGGTCTTGCATGTGGCATGTAGCATGTAAATAGAAGATCAAGCGGTGATGGTAACATGTCCTCCCTTCCAAACCTACTAATTACAACTGATTGATCATCTGTAGACTCGAAATTAGGTCACCGAATTCCCATGTCGCCGACCCCATCCCTGTAATGCAATCCTTGATGTGTTATATGTGGGTTAGGCCACACCAAGTAAATTTTATGGATGACGTCCACGCGCGCATTGATTTTGGCCTGTTCCTAGAGAAAAAAAACAAGAAATTCCGCTTCCTGTAACTATGACCAAAGAGTCAAGACAGTGCCGCAAATGGGTTTGTACGGACCAAAGCTTGTGAAGCATCAAGCAAGAAAATCATGACTTCAATTAGGAATTCAGTTTGGTACATGCTGCCACATTTGAAGAAACTTGCTAACCGCTCCATCTATCTCCTCAAAGCAAAAGACGACTTCTTCCTTGTTACACTGTCACTTCATTCAATTTGTGTCCTAACATTTGTCGTCTCTTAGTATATTTCTAATCTAGGCATCTTGTTTTTAGGGCCCTTCTTGTTTTTTTTTCGCCCTCTCGCATTAGATTTAGGGTCTCCAAAGGACGTCATCCATAAAATTTACTTGGTGTGGCCTTATATATGTTCCTTGATTGGGTGTCAGGGGGTTAATTGTTGAGTTATGTATGATCAGCTGTCTCTCGTTAAAATGTCCAAAACGTGCTTCGGGTGCTAATAAGCTACACTGTAACTAATAAGCTATCACGCACCGCAGCAAGAGAGATAATAAAAGTACTCTATTCTAGGAAGTTGACAAGGTGTAAGTAAAGAAACAGATTTGTTTAAATGAAGCTACTGTATCATTATAAGAAAGTTTTTCAGTCTTTTTTCATCTAGATAGAATAGAAAAGTCAGCATTCCTTTTGGAACTAGACAAACCACGTATTAAAAGGTCCATAATGATTCATACATCTACATCTGCCTTAAGAAGGGAGAAGTTGAACATAGCACTTCACATAAATCTAATATGTATATAGTTGTAGCTATCACTGTAACTTTGCCTCTGCTGTAACTCCATGATCTGTACTTGCAAGCCAATAAGAACATAAACGTACGTTAAAGGCCTTTCACTAAATGATCCATGCTGAGATTTGTGCACTGAATATCCAAGTCTGGGTGTTCAGTCTGTATAGTGTCTTGAACAAATTTACGTCTTGAAATCGGTAGGTGGCGTTTTTTACCTCCTTAAAATCATCATGCGAACTTGCAAAATCCTAAGGTATATAATTAAAATATGGACTCATGCACACGTCATTCTGTATTCAAACTGTCATTCACACTTCAACTCTCTCGAGGATAACAAAAGAAGAGATCTATACGAAAAAGAATGGATTGAAGAAGCATTTAATTTAGTTTTTTTAAGGATAACAAAAGCTATACCTATGGATATTGAGAAGTCATTGTTACTTCGCAGAAGGAATACTGTCTGTTACTACATTGCACTTACTGTCTCTGATTTCATGTTTATCATTAGCTGCCTATAATGAGGTATTTAATTTATTGCAATTACAACTAAATCTGTGATACAAATTTTTATTTACCTAAACTATAACTCACTCCCAGCAAGGGATGTAGGTACTAAGTTTATAATGCACAATTCTTGAACTCTGAAACGAACACCAAAAACTCAGTTTACGAATTTCCGATTTTTCCATTGGTCTCCACCGGGCACATGAACCACTTACGTCTTACATACGTCACATTTTTAACCATGACGTCAGTGTTGGGTCAAGGGTAACCGGAAGTCTATACCGTCCATCGCCCGGAGTCTAAGCTAGCCCTTAATATATATGGGAGCATATTTTTCATTCTATCTCCCAAAATATATTGCACTCACAAATGTCACGCTGTATTAAAGGCACTACATCGTGTGTCTAAAGCTATACTATTGCAATTTGAGAAGTGGATCCGGAGAAAGGAACTCTGCAACAGGCCAGAGTCCGCTTAGAGATGTGCCAAATGTGGCTAATTGTAAGGCTGATATCAAGTCGGATTTTACAATGGTGGTCACTATCAATTGACCGAATGATACTATTAATACTATTGGAACTGTGCCTTTTACATTTGAGCCCAATCTTCTTGTATGCCTAATGTAAAACATACAATAGTACAACCCTCCAGCCTCTACCACTCTTCAGGAAGCGGCTAGAAATTGGCTAAATAGACCAAGCGATGGCATAGCGCGAGCCAACTCCCTTGGTATATCATCTGTTTATTTGGCCAATTTCTACTCTTTCCAGCCGCTTCCCGAAGCCTTGTAAAGGCGACCACCCCTTTGCGATGCACAGTATCAGAAAAGATCGTGAAACTTCTCCAATAGGCTCTCTTTTACTGAGCAGTTTCTGTCTCCTTTGACCTTCATGTCTGCCCATGCTTCGGCTAAGTCACGTGGTTTTAGCCCATGCGCAGTCAACAGTTCTTTGAACTTGCAGTACGCGTATGCAGTATTTTTCCAGCAGCCGAACTCTGGGTGGTTCCGAGGCTTGATTCCCGCCTTTTCCGCGCAGATTCCAAGATAAACGTCTTCTATCTGAACAATGGGCACTTTGAGTGACGTCATGTACAACCTGTGTGCTACGTCAGAAGACATGACGTAGCCAGAACCGATACAATATGGCGGATAGAGCCAACGCGGGAAAATGTCTGTGTCCATGTACCATTTCTTACCGGGCGTTCGCACGGGAAACGCCCACGATACGACGCACCCGAGCATGAGGTTCTTTTCTTCTGCAGTTTGTCTGAAATCCGCTAGAGTGCGCACCAGTCTTGGGTAGTTCACGAACACGTCGTCATCTGTTTTCATGACAAATTTTGCCTGTCTGCAGTTCATTGATGTCCATTTAAGGGCAGAAATCGTTTTTAGCGTTAGATTTTCGTATGATTCGTACGAATCCATTTGCACGATGTCACCGTATCTTCGACCTTCTTCCACTATCGTTCTTTGCAAACTTGGATCGTCGGTTCGACCAATCACGAACAAGGTTGCGAGCTTGTATCCCATGATCCTCGTCGCGTTGCCCCACGTCTCCCTGATGGCCGCCCTTGCTTCGAAGTGCGCATGTCTGGACGTTACCATGACAACTAAGAAAAGGTCAGGGTCTTTGCACTTCTCTCCTGGACTGATGATAAAATCCAGATGGTAGTCCGCTGCTGGAATGTACCAACTGTACTTCTTTGGGGGTTCAGACCGAAGAGCGCCAACTTTTTCATAAGAAGAAGAGGCGGTCCACAGGGCGGTGTAGGCGACAAAGAAAACAAAAACGATCAAGAGGATCCACATCCGGGTTCGCTGCGGCACTGTTTTCATTTCGGCGCCTCTTGTCCTCGTAGCGGTGATGTAATAGGCTTGGAATCTGCACCAGGCATGTAGTTAGTTGACAAACTTCGTCTTAGCGATGTTGGCACGCCGTATGCTGTGGGCATTCCTGCCTCGTCTGGTAGTCCATGATAGTAGGGGAAGACCTGGAAAAGAAAAGAATTGATGAAGCCTCAAAACAACGTTTGGTTCACCCAAGGAGGTTTTTTTAACCTCCTTGGTTCACCCAAGGAGCGTTAGGATTATAGTACACCGGGGCACCGGTACTCTATATAGATCAGGACCAACCTATCCGCTAGGGATCCAGAATCGTGCTTTATCTAGAACCATGCCCCGTCTCAAAGGCACTGTCCACGCGTATCCAGAACCGTACCTGGGGCAAACCGTTCTTGGTAGTACGCCGAGATACCCAGAACCATGGATGATCCCAACCCTAACCCAATCATGCATGTGAACTGGATAGGCACGGTTCTGCATAATACATCAGTGACCCATAAACCAAGCACGTTCTATCGCCTTGCATAATCGAACTTGTGCTCTGTTTAGTCAACACCTACCCGCATACGCTGAATAGTACATCTGATCCCAAGGGACCCATGGCGACACTCAACCAGGAAACGTTAAGGTATGAATTCAAGATGAGGCAAAAACAGGAAAGGGGCCAAGAGAGGTCCTAAGAAGCTCTGCACACTGAGGATATAAGATAGGGCGGAACGGAAGTAGCGCTAGCTTGGATGCCAGACCCATACACAGTAGGCCCAAGTTATCCTGACTCAGTGCAAGGAATAACTTCGGGCCTAGTGTGCCATGCAGATCTGGCGTCGGAAGGCTAGATCAGTAGCTACATGTACACTGGCGGAAATTCCCAACTTACCCCGACCTTCTTGAGTCATGCAGATGATCTATGTACTCTGTAACGGTTGGAAAACAAGTTCCCATACCTGCGGACCTGGTTACGGATGCATTATTTCCTGACTACGTGCCTAAATTTATAGTAAGCGGTTGAACTTGAAAGCGATTGAAATTGAAGTAGACACTTCAGTCACGGCCTGCAACCACTTACAGTTCAACGCTGGTGGAGTCAAATCCCTGTTGACACACTTTAGGGGTGTTTGGGGTTAGATGACCCCTTTTGGGGGGCCGCATGCCGTATTGCGTAGAGCGTAATCGGCCGTTTTAGTTCGACGTAGAGCGTAGACGGACCGCTATAATTCAAGGTAGAGCGTAATTGGCGCATTTTGCGTAGAGCGTAATTCGCCGTTTTGATTCTACGTAATGCGTTGTAGTTACCCGAAAATCATCCTAAAACATAATGGGGAGGCTTCTTGAATTCAGCCGGCTCTCAAAATTTAGCACAAAGCGTTGTCGGGACAGCTCCCCTCCCCCCGGAAATTCTCAGCGCTCTAGTAGAGTTAAGAAAGACCACTTCTTGTTCCGCCACTCAGAACCTTTCAGCGTGCCACTAGTTTAAGTTCTCATGATACACCGTTAACATACCTGTCTCCAAGTCACTTTACAACAACAACAGCTTCTTTCCCCGGACTGCCAAATTATGGAACTCTCTTCCAAACAGATGCTTTCCGTCCGACTACAATCCACAAAGCTTCAAAACAAAGGTCCACTGCCATCTCCTGACATAACTACATTATTATATGTACCTCTAGCACTATGCCTAGAAGTGGCCAAAAAAAATTGGCCTTGCATTGAGTGACACCGTTAAAAAAAATTCCCCTTCCTGCCTAATTAACTGACAGCCCAACGTTTGAGTGTAATGTACATTTTAATATTGGCTGGTTATCTTCTAATACTTCATGTACAGCGGATCTGTAGATTCACTGGCGGAAATTCTCAACGAACTAGAATGTTTGAATAGCAAAGTTAAGTAGCAACTTGTTTAACTTGTCATCGAATCGTTGGTTGGTTGTTATTAGTAAAACATGTAGATCTACCATTAGTGCATGTAAACTATGGACACCTGTACAAAATGAAACTCAAAATGTCATTATGTCAGAAATAAAATACATCAAGACTTAAATAGACTCTACTAGGCTTCGGGAGACGGCTGAAAAGAGTAGAAATTGGTCAGATAGTGAGATAACATGACGAGAGAATTGGTCCGCTTGAGAGTACGATTTGCAAAACGTACTCTCTAGTGGACCGACTCCATCGGCATGTTATCTCTCTATCTGACCAATTTCTACTCTTTCCAGCCGTCTCTCAAAACCTGGTACAGGCTAAGACTTACACTCCAATACTAGCCACCGTTAACTGTTAATTAAGCACATTTCCAACAAATTATAGTTGGCTATTCTGCAAATAACCTCCCTTTATTGCCAAAGCGCTAGCATTAATGCCAATGGCTTCATAACTCCAGTTTCCAACTGTCTCGCAATCGCGACTTTAAGTTTTGTCCTTTTTAAACTTCCTGTCACTCTTACTAGGCCCTGTTGTATTCAAAACCGTGCTCAAGTTATTCAGAAACAGGCTCAGACACGGGTCTAGAAAGTGGATAGTCCACGCGTGTCCAGAACCGTGCCTGGGGCAAATCTACGTTCTTGGATACGCAGGGACTATCAAGAATCGTGCCCTAAAGTCATAGAACTAGATAGGCACGGTTCCGGATACACGATAGAGACTTTTTTCAATCGAATCTGCGATTTGTTCAGTCGACACTTACCCACAGACGAAAACGTAAACTATCCCAAAGGAATCCGTGGCGAAACTCCGTTCAGGTATTGGAAAAAAATTCCAGAAAGTTGTCTGGCAGTTGATTGGGGCATGAAATCGTCCCTGTATGTACAGCGGATCGGAAGGTTCACTGGCGGAAATTCTCAACAACTGAGTGAATACCAAAGTTAAGTAGCAACGTTCTTTTTTTACAACCTGACTTGTTTAGCCATTTGTCATCGAAACGTCGGCTTTCTTTAAACAAATAGTTTTGAACAAAGAACGATTTTATCAGGTTGGTGAATGAGCGAATACCAAAGTCTGGTTATAAACTCAAAGTATAAACTCTCTTTGTTCACAACCACTTGTTAGGCAATTTACCATCGAAACGTCGGCACTAGTTAAACAAATGGTTGTGTATAAAGAACGGTTGCTACTTAACCCAAAGCCTGTTTACCCGGTCATGGTAGGAAAACACGAGAAAAGTCCAATACGTGCACCTGGTCACGGCTATGTACACCTTTCTGATCACCTAACACACAGTCTCTGTAAGTCCGTCTTGAAGAGTCTGACTTGAACTGCGCAAATTTGAATGGTACAACGCACACAGAGACACTTGGGTGAACTCTGGGGAAGGTGTGCAATCGGTTCCTTTTCAAATCACATTCAAGCTCAAATTCAAATACAAACTATAAATAGCTGATGGTAACATTTGCAAAGCAAATGCACAATGTTTACATTCGCACATGGTCTGTTCTGTTTTAAAAGTCTTATTCAAATACATTAATATATATATATATACATATACATATTTATGGTCAGACAGGAGTCTAAATCCCTGCTACTAGAGATTGCAACATTATATAACCCAACACCAGTTACCATGGTGTCAGAGGTTAGTGTTTGAAGAAGAAGAAGAGGAGGAGGAAACTGAGCAAAAACAATATGTTTTCCTTCGGTAAACGTAAGTATCAAGTCTAACCGTTTAAGTTCAAGGTCCAAGGGACTAAAAAGTGTAAAATGTCTTAATGTTGGGAACTGTTGCTTTTTTGGAGCTGGATGCTATAGGTAAGGGTTATTTTCATTTGATTATGTAAAAAAAAATGGAGTTTGTGTCATGTTTGGGGTGTCCAGACCAGAAAAGAAGTCCTGAGTTTCCATGCTCTCATCAGCTGGTGATAGGGGTCAAAGGTCTCTTCTGAAAGTTTTTCCTAGCGTTTAGATGCATTTAGCAGTATATGATTTCTTGATATCAACAAAATGGACAGTTTAGAGGCCGAGTGACCCTATGGATGTGTGCTCTTGATGCGGTTTCACTCAGGCAGGTGACTTTTCACACCTTCTCTCTTACATGTTTTCCATACATTTCAATGGGAGTGTCCATTACCGGTCTTTGCCCTAATAATCCGTGATATTAGCCTAAGCCTAATATTATAGTCCATTCTAACAAGGCTGGACTGCAGGCTAACGTGATATGGCCTACTAAACCTGGCAATATCATCTAGAAACTGTTTAACGTATTTAGGGTCTACGTCGATGAAGGTTAGACATCCAGGTAATACGATACGCCAAAAAACAGTTTATCAAGCAACTGGATATGATTTTGGAAACGTCACGTCACGTTTTTTGACGTTTTCAAAATCATATCCAGTTGCTTGAGTAACTGTTTTTTGGCGTATTTAGGGTCTATATATACGCCACATCCCACAGGTCTCATGTAGATCTAACAGTTCTGCTTGCGATACTATGGGCACTTGTACAAATTAAGACTAAAAATGTCATACTGCCAGGACTAAAATACAACAAGACTTACCCTCCAGTAGTAATATGTCCGTCGGTGAGTCTGGGTGGTGGTGCGATGTGGTGAATAATTATGCACTCCCTCCAATGCTGGCCACCGTTAACTGTTAATTTGATAAGCGAATATGTATTTTCCAACAAATTCTAGTTGGCTATTCTGCAAATGGTCACACCTACTTCCGCCAACTAGCGAGCTGCATATTGATCCTGTTGGGTACATACTCTAGTTCCCTTCTGACCCGCTACCTGTTTTTTCCGTAACTTCCTGTAATTCTATATATAGTGAGACATGCCTTACCACTGACATAGGCGGGCATATCTTCAACGACCCAGCTGACGATAACTTTGAAGAGTGTTCCACTACTTCTGAGGGGTGCCGGAAAACCCAAAGATGGAAAAAGGTCTTTCTTAAAACCTATTCAACAAGTGTAAGTCTCTCCAGACGTAGCCAGCACTAAGCTGCCAAGATTTCACAAAAGAAAATCCCCAAGAAAATTTTAAAAGCCATTGTTGTTTATTCTTAAAATATTCAATTTATCTGATTATCAGGCCTTAGCACTGCACGAAAAGTTGGATATGCTAATAGTAATAAATGGCAATTAATAGTCAAATAAAAAAACACCAAACTTTACAATATAGTAAATCAAAGTCAGGTTCGGTTATTTCGGACTTTACTAGAGTTAAGAGCTGTTCAAGGGTTAGGTGTAACAAGCCAATCGGTGTAATGTAGCCAAATGCCGCCGCGCCGCGTGCCTGCAAAGCTGGTGAGTTACGCCGAAAGGCGGTTATACCGGCTATACAGATACAGATACAGACTTATTTCCAATGTCAAGTCCGGTACTGTTAACAACCTACATGTTGCCTGAAATTTACCACTTTATCGAATTTTTCGTGCTGTCAGTGCAGGTCTAAACTGCGGTGTCTCCTTATTATTAGTTCAGATTGGATTATTGGATCATTAGATAATCCATTACAATAGGATTCAAATCATATCAAGCCAGGAAAGCAATTTGGTAATTGAATTTTCGTCGCGTGCTTTTTTTCGGAATGCAAAGGCAATTTAAGAATGTTCTCTGAATCGCCCCCCCCCCTCCTCCAAAAAAAATGAAAAATAGCGTATAAAAGAATGAAAAATAGCGTATATGTACGGCCCTTTTGTCCTTTTTTGTGTCGACTTGCTGATCACTGTGTGCTACATGAACAAGCTAGTTGCGTCACTCGAGCTCTGACCTAATGCCGACTTAACCCGTGGATTTCATCCGAAACCCTGTATACGTCACATTATAAGCTATTACACACGGGGTCCGTTGGGACAAAAAAAACCCTGATCATTCGGCAGTACAAAAATACAACTGCCACAACGCAGTAACATTCTTACTAAA